TACAGTCGTCGTGTTGTCAGCTCTAGACGACAAAAAAAAGGTTGATATCTGGTCTATGAGGAGCTGCAAGTATGGGGATTGTGTCTGACGAAAAGAATCAACATCAAGCCATCTCCCGGTTTTGAAGACATCTGAAAAATGTGTTACCCAATAAAGGAAAATTAAACAAGTATTAAAATAATAAAATGCATATGACATAAAAAAAAAATCGACCGAGTCTACTACAATATCATACTACAACATATGATACTAGGGCCATGTCGCTAAAAAACCTTACTCTTCTACATTCTCAACTGAGTAATATGTACAATAAAAAAACGCATTCACCATGTCTCTGCAATACCAAAATTGATATGAAGACCATGTGAAAAATCACAGACTAGCGTCTAGTCTAACTGCGAGAACAGTCGATACAAATTTTTCAGTTCCAAAAATACTTTTCGTTTCTTTAAATTCTAGCACATCCTTCACATATGCTTTATATGTCAAAATTTCATTCAAAATATAAGACCAAAATGGCGCACAACCCATCGTGGAACAATCAAAGACCCTTTTGCTTTGCAATAAATCAGATGTTTAATTGTGCGTACAACTGAATAGATAGTGGGAACAAGCCAATTATTTTCTCCATGCCAATTTTGTGTAAAAACATCTATAGCTTCTGCAGTCGGATTCCAGAAAGTGAATTAAACCTTTTTGTCTTGGTATTCATCATGCTAGCAAACCTATCAATAGCAAAAAGCCCCCATAAACGTTCTAATAATTCAAACAAAAAAAAAAACAATCATCTGAAATTTGCCAATCCTCATGATCTCTCATTTTGCTAATTTAATCTGCCTTTGAATTCAATATGCGAGGAAACCATTGTTATTCAATGAAAATATTATGCTCTTAACAAATACAAAATATAGAATAGGCAATATTGTGTAGATCTTCCCTCATGCTTCCAGCTTGTACTGTACGTACACAGTTTTGGTTATCGGTAAACCATTTCAAACTTTTGCCTATAAATAAAGTAGAAAATGACAATAAGGCCGGTTCGACTTCTCTCATCCCTCTCTAGGTGGAACTTTTACATCGTTCTAATTCATTCCACATTTTGTGAAAAGTCTTATTTTCTAATTCTACAGTATAAGCCCAACAGGCCTCATTGCTAGCATCTGTAAAAATTACTATCGAAGAAGGGCTATAAGTACACATTAGATTTCCAGAACTTAGGCTCATTCAAAATCTCACCTGGATAAAATTATTGAATATAGTATATCCCAGCCCAATCTTTGCACGATGCACAAGTAACAATTTATTGTCATCAATCTAGTCAAATTTCCGAATACTGGTGACAAAGAAATAAACTTACCAGTCACTTAGAGCTAATTGCCTAGCAGAGAAAAACAAAAACCTTTCTAAAATTTCATCTATAGACTGTAACAATAAATTTACTCTTTTTTTGGGGGGAATTGAAATGCAAAATTGAGTAGAATCCCATAAATTGTATCTAAAACAAAATCACTAGCTCCAATCTTAACCCAAAAATCGTAATGCTTTGCAATACTGCCTTTAACACCTTTAAAGTTTTGACTTGCAAACAAATCTAATTTTTCAAGAAAATGAATTTGTGACATAAATACGTTAAAGTTCGCCATTATTGCTTTCATAGCAAGAAGATAATAAACTTAAATCTAGATACTTATCATTGACAGTAAGTGGATCATTGCTGTTTGGCTGGCTGACTGGCTTGTTACTGGATACTAGGTGCAGAAGCTGTGGCTGACTTGAACTTGAGGTGGCAGTTTCTTCTCCAGTGACCATAATGCTTACAGTAGTGACAGATGTCCATGGGGCACGGCTCACGCCTTGCGGTGCTGGCACGAAATGGCCGTTGATAAGCTGGAGAGGAGCAAGGGCAGTAGCGATATGTTCAACTGCAGGAGTTGGTCTAGCTGTGTACGGCTGAGGGTGGGTCTTTTCTCTTTGATAATGCAAGGGCCCTAGTCTCTGCCTGACGAATCTTTTTCTAGTCTTCATCATTATCGGCGATATCATTGCTCTCATATTCTCTAACAGTAGCCCAACCCCCGGCAGAGTTATCAGCAATCCTGATGAGTTTATTGCTTTCAGTTTACCCAGCAATTACCAGCAATTGAAGAAAGAGGTGAAGCAACAGATACAAGGTCCTTGTGAATTTTGTTTAGAACCTCAATGATATTCTCGTTAAAACGAAACTGAATACGATTCCCTTCTGATTTAAACTTAATATTTGCCTCATCTCTGTATTTCTTTTACAAATTGTCTTGCTCGGAAAGAATGTCGGACTTTAAATCAACAAGTTTCCTGTCTAGGTAATCTTTGAAAAGGCCAAACGTGTCTACAAAGTCACGGTTTTGTTGACTTGCTTGTGAATTGGAAGCGTTATGGCGATCAGACTGACTACGTAAGTGGTCCCTTGACAGTTTGTCTTCATTCAAATCTACGACTGGCTCGGTCATATTTTCATCAAAACTAAACTGCACTGTATATGATCTTCGAATGACAATATTCCTTAACTTATTAACAAGAAAACCATTCGCGCTTAAAATTCCCGTGCCATTTACATATCAAATATCATACTCAATATATTTACGCATTGCGACAAATAATGACCAATGCGAAATATCATATATTCAAAATACAAACCTGTTTATTTAATATAAACACCAATAGATGACCCCTATAAAGAAACACATACATTTTAACATAAATGTGTATGCTCAACTTTAAAAAGTACATTTATTCATCGTATAATTATGATTGCAACTATCACTTGAGTTGTTTTCATTACAACGTAAATTAGAATGTACATGGTTATTTACTTTCGAACAGTTTCTCTTGTCGAAGAAACTCGTGTTGTTTGATGACGAAGAATCATTCACAGTTTTTATTATATTTCGTTGACGTTTCCTCTTTTGTCTAGGCGTTCCAGAAAAATTCTATCGGTTGGAAATATATTTTTATAGGTCTTGCAGTATTAAGTCTGCAATAAATCCCAGAAAACAATATTTTTTCTCTCGATTAAAGTTTGTCCTGCCATTTTCACTGACGCATGCGCATATATATGAAAGTACATGATAAAGAGTATACTTCAATGGGACAGCAACTAATTGATAAAATGACATCTAGGGAAGTCTTACTTTATAATATATCCGGTCATATTTGAAATTTAATATGATTGATTTATATCTTCCTCTGCATCGATGCTTTTTCCTCAAAATTATTATTTGTTTTCCTTTCATTAATATTAATCTGCTTAAGAAAGTAAGAAATCTGAGAGGCAGACAGAAATGCGTTTACCATTTTACAACTTTGGCAACTCTGTGGAATATTAAAGCATATCGTTTCACCCTGTTTGAATTCTATGGTGGTTATGCAAGGTTTTTATTTTTTTGTAAACTGTTCAACTTTCCTCTGCAAAATTATATTCTTGGTAGTTTTTCAAGGTTATTATTATTCCTCCCTCCCCATTATATTTGACGTATTTTTGTTTTCAATTAAATGTGAATATGATGTTCTAATGCGGTCTTGTAAATCTAATCTTTAGTGGAGTATGTATGTGTTCCCTAGTGTATGTGACTCCACAATTGTTAATATTTTTAAAAATATTCTCATGCATCATGTGCAAACATTTCTACAATCATCCTCATGGTTGAGATTTACATATCCGCCTTGAATTTCTATTGAATTTTATTTTCAACTTTCAATGATTTGTTTTCAATGTAATAGCTGAAACACACTTTCAAATGGCGTTACTAAATTTATGTCTATATTGGCTGTTGTGCAGTGAAGAGTTTCGATTTCCATTTTCAATTTGTCATGAAGTGGTTCTGAGTGGGTCTTTCAAAATGACAATTATACAACGAACAAATTAGCATTTGTCACGATGATGAAAAAAGCAAAATTTTCTTCACACAAAATCCAAAAATATGGTACAGCACATTCAATCTGACCCTTTTGATCCTACACTAGCATAAAATAATCAAACTTTTGTACCCTTCTAAGTATTTCCATTCTTAACTTAAAAAATATTGACCAACTTTGTTTAAAAAAAAAAAGAATGGATAACCTAGAAATGATTTATCTTGTAACTTTCCGTTACTCTGAAGCAACATTATAGTAGCACCTGTATATTGATTCCTTGATAGAAGGTTGCAGCTGCTAGCTTTGAACAAGTAGTACTTGTTTAAGTTGAAGTTATTCCATGCAAGTTTTAGACTCCGTCCTTATTTAGTCGACCGTTGTAGAATGTTTGTCACAAAAGTGTGTGAATACTATCCCACCCTCTTTTCCGCGATTGGGAATGTATTTGGTCACCTGATTTGTACTTAGCAGCACAATGGGTGCCACTAATGGAGCAGGAACTATTTATCTTTCTCGGGCATTTGATTTCACTCCTAGTTTCGTTTTATAGACGTCCGTATTGCTTTGTTTTAGTTTCCAATTTTGTATTTTGTCCTACATTTTGCAAGACCAAAATGTCTATCCCTATCCAACTTCACTTCTTTTCCAGTGACAGACCACATGTTGTCCTTCATCCTAGTCGACCTATATCTACCTATTATTCTTTTTAATTTTATACTTGTCCTGAATATGCATGAAATATTTACAACTGGACGTAAGTTCTAGTGAATCAGAATCGGCTATAACTGATAACTCATAGTGCAACCCCAGTTCTTGGAGCAGTTCATGGTATCCAATTTTAAGTTTTATTTGTAGTTTTTTTTTCCTTTTCAACACTGATAACTTCTCCGTTTTATATAAGAAAAAAAGATGTACCCTGTTTCTTAATTTTTAATTGTAACTGTTATTGGTTTTGTGAATATTTCTTCATAATTCTACATTAATACCATCATTTAGAGCGTGTGGATTAAGATTTTAATAGACTATAAAAACCTGCAACGATAAGGAACACGAAGTATCAATTCAAGCATGGTCTAGTGATGAATGCGCGATAAAACAAGAAAACAAAATTCTCAGAGTAGGAATTTCTTTTATTTAATCGTATGATTACATTTACATAGCAATAGAAAAATCAATTAAATGGAGTATTGCTAAAAAATGATAAAAAGGTTATGCCGTGTTTGTAATATGATTACTTCAACAATCCATTACAATGCTGATATAACTAAATGCTGACAATAAACGATCGTAACAAAAATAGGGAATACAAAACTTCAATGAACATTCTTCAAACATAAATGGTCATATCACTGGCTGTTTAGGAGGAAATCTCCTTTAACAATCCTAATTTAAAAAAAAACACAGATCAATGATACCAGGCTTATGATTTCATAAACCAGACGCGCGTTTCGTCTAATAAAGACTCATCAGTGAATCTCAATAATTGGCGTTAGACTATAGTCCTGACTTGATTCTTCTTTTAGAAAATGAAGATGTTTTATAGTTTGCTACCTTAATCGCACACTTTTGTGACAGATATTTCAGGACTATTTTGGACCTTTGAAGTCAGCAGTAATTCCAAACCAAATCATGCAATTATATTAAAAATAAAGCTATGTTTTCTTTAAAAACTAGTTCATTTATTTTGGTTTAAGAATCGCGGCTCTACCTTTTCAGAATCAGGCATGACTATTTCAAAAAGTCTTGGAGGGAAATATTCAAAAGTATTATGCAAACCTGAGATTGAACACACTGATTGTTTTAAAAAGTTGTTATGTTGGGTTTCTATACACAAAGTATTTGATGTACCTTTTACTCCTCTGAAAATACAAATAAACACAAGGAGTATAAAATATACCAGTGAAATAAAAAAATACTTATCTGATAAAAATTTAAAAGAGATTGGTCAAAATATAGAGTGTTAGTTAAGTTTTTCTTTGCAAATCATCACTTTATAGTCTAAGAGGTTGGCATATAATTTTTCGAAATACATTTTGTTGTATTTCGTGTGTTTTACTATCTTTGAACCTGTTAATACATAGTAAGAGACGTTGTCTTTTAATCAAGTCAATCGGAAGAAAATACGGTTGAAGGAATTTTGCTTGGAAGCTCATGTATCATGGGCACATGTTGTCAAGTTAAATCAATTAATAACATTTGAGTGTTTAATTATAATTATAGGTTGTAAATACTTTTCAACTTTGTATTTGATTTGGCCTTCTGTTTTGAGTCTAGTGCCCCTGATGAGTCTTATGTAATCAAAAAGCATGTCCAGCGTAAGAAATTATAAATTTAGCCGACAATAGTTAACCGATGTTCAAATCTCATAAATCGATTAAGATACAGATCTCAAGGCAACAAACAAAGAATTAGGGAATAGCATGAACTCCAAAAGGAGCGATACTGGGTGCAGGGTAAGCGTCTCCTGCTATACATGCGTCACCCTCCATGCTAATAGTCAAAACAGTCGCAATGGTAAAATTAAAGACCAGACGACTATTCTGGTATCTAAAGATCTTCAACCGCCTATACATGTAACTAGTGAGTCAAGACACATACACATCGTTTCCGTAAACATATTCGTAAAACGAAAGTGGTGTCGATGTTAGTAAAATAAGCCTTGTATTTTTGATGAATATATAAATGATGCATTCCGTTATTTTAAATGATTGCATATCTTTTTGTTATAATGCTTATTTCTTTTGAGTTATAGGTAGAATTGAGACAATAAGCATTTAACAATAATGCAAAATGACGACACATGTGGCATTCAAGTACATACTACACTGACATTGTAGTTTTGTTTGGTAGATATGCGATTACTACAATCACACTTTTCTTTGATAAACGTACGTAACTTGTAGAAGCCAAAGAATGTCACATGGATTATAGGTACTCCTACAAATACCAATACAACACAATAAATAATAGCATTTTCAGGTTTTGTCCAGTCAATAAAGCTATACACAGGAGGGTTACCAAGGCCGAGTTGGTCCAATACCGAAAACACTGAATACATTACTCCGTATATGCTTGGATAAATAAAATGTAATATTCGAACGGGCTTTGCACACACAAAAAAGTTCAGGATCACATACACTGAGTTTATTGCATGATACTGTATACTCAGAGGGGTGGTGTCTGAAAAAATAAAATAAAAATTAGTACGAGCTTAAAATAAAAAATTGCAGATGTGATATGAACTATAATCCACATAGAATTATCCCTAAAATGGAGTGATACGAAATAAGCATTTCCCTGTTATGCATATTTCATTAATCGGGATACAAAAGACATTTTTTTTTAAATTTGTGTATTTTTTCAACGTTGTTTTTCTTGGTGAATTAAAGAAAGAGTTGTTACTTTTCTGGAAAATCTGAGTTCACCCTTGTGTGTTTTAAGATCCGTGTTACTCAATCTCAGTTTTCTGTGCAGCATTTTGTCATTGTGTTGTCTGGTTTTATTTAGTAATAGTTTTAGATTTCCACTTCAGTATGTTCTTCCTCTTTTTTAGGTTAACTACATGTATTTCAACCATCTACCCTGAAACCGCTGTGCCATTTTGACAAAATGAGGTATTCTTCTTAAACAACAGTTTAAGGACCCAAACCAACTTCGAACGTGGTATCTACCATTATTACAACCTTACCTACATTCAAGCATGATCGCCATCCAAATTGTTCTGCGGAGAATTTAAAGATGGTATGCTATAAGTCATTTCGTACCGAAACAATGGCTACTGAGGTAATGGTACCCTCGTGAACTAGCAGCAGCGGCGGTATAGACCCAGTGCTAAACGACACACTAATGAAGGTTGTCACCTTTATGGGCAAAATAGGAGATTGAAATAGCTAACAAATATGATATGTGAAAGATTGAATGTTGATTGCTTCATGTCTAGTTGCAAACACTATGCATATTCAGGCCAAGATCGAATGTTTGAAATAAAAAAAAAAAGGTCGGGTCCGTAAAGGTGGTCAACTGGGCTACCACTGGAAGAGGCATATTGAATAGGGGCTGAAATTCTGCGTTGCAATAAGCCACTTACGGACATAAGTGAATTATTGCAAGGGTTCTTCAAGTTAAAAACGAGTACAGCACTATCCCTCCTAGGTGCATCAGTTTAATGTTTCCATTCCGACATGGTTATTTTTTTATACATTTCACGCAACCAAACGAACGCCTCTCATTAGCACGTGTTCTACTAGCGCAAGGGAAAGCCAACCTCTTAGTTTTATGTGTAGACCAATTTGTAAGAATACTTTAGTTTGATTATACATTTGTGATCCACTTATTTGGTTGGTTATCCCGTCCAACTTAAAACATGACTTCCAACTGAAACTCATAATATAAAATTTGATAGAATCAAATAAAATACTTCTTGAATTCATGTAAAGGATCAACCGCTACCAAACTTGTCTTAAATAAATGATACATTTATGGTTCTCTTTAGGAACCGCTATAGATGGTCTTACCGCCTTGAAACCGTCAAAATAGGGAAATCTTTTATTCACTTCATAAAGGAAGGTGCACAACCTCAAAAGGTTTGAAAACTCACTGTGAATTTCCACATTTTGGGGTTAAAAGAAAAATTGTTACCATCTTTCGAAATTTTTTACTAAAAAATCATTAAATTTCAAATTTTGGAAATATGAGCCAAAATTGATAAAAGCAGGTGAACAACTTCAATATATGTTCAATCATTCTGCAAAGATCTGGAAGGAAAACTGTAGGAGTGGATTACACAAAATTAATATCGTCTTTTGTAAATTTTGAAGAAACAAATTAATGAGTTCCACAAATAAGGTACCCACTGTTTCTACTTTTAGCCCGACATTATTATACTATAAGCTGTTTTTGAACTTCGACCGAACCCCCCCCCCCCCCCCCCCCCAAAGCAAACAAAAAAAACCAACAACCCCCAAACAATTTAAAAAATGATGACAATCGTGCAAAGAAGCAATTCCTACACAACTTCTGTTAAAATATACTTTGGATCCCTATTTCATTATGGCAAGCTGAAAAAAACAAAGAACCGCCAGTCATATACAGACGTAATTCTACATTCTGCTTATTTAAAAGAAAATTAATAAGTTGGCCGAGCTTAAAATCCTATACTACGAAAGCCTATAAGGGTCACACAAAAAAATTATTTATCTCGTTATTACGAGAAAACTATCGCGTAATTACGAGACAATCATTTTTTATCTCGTAATTACGAGATAATTATCGCGTAATTACGAGAAAACTATCTCGTAATTACGAGATAAAATTACATACATATATATAGATATACAGATCATGATTACCCTTCCGGGGCACCTGATAAAACGCCCGTTTTTATTAGCTCAACTGACCCAAAGGGTCAAGTGATCTTTTTCCATCACATGGCGTCCGTCGTCGGTCGTCGTCCGTTAACTTTTACAAAAATCTTCTCCTCTGAAACCACTTGGACAAATTGAACCAAGGTTGGCCTTAATCATCCTTAGGGTTTCTAGTTTTAAAAAATGTATCCAAAGACCCCGCCCACCAACCAAGATAGCCACCGTGGCTAAAAATTGGGGGGTAAAATGTAGTTTATGATTTATATCTCTGAAAATAAAGCATTTAGAGCAAATATGACAGGGTAAATATTTTCAGACGAATTAGACTTCCCGTTGATGGGATGCTGCCCCTGAATTGGTAATTTTAATGATTATTTTTCAGTTTTTGGTTATTATCTTGAATATTATAATAGAAAGATATAAACTGTAGGAGCAAAAATGTTTAGCCAAGTAAGATCTACAAATAAGTTAAATGACCAAAATTGTCAATTGACTCCTTAAGGAGTTATTGCCCTTTAAAGTCATTTCTGCAATTAAGTAATTTTTTATAATCTTTTACAAAAATCTTTTTCCTCTTAATCTACTTGGCCAAATGAATTTTTATCTCGTAATTACGAGATAGTTTTCTCGTAATAACGCGATAATTATCTCGTAGTAATTACGCGATAATTATCTCGTAATTACGCGATAGTTATCTCGTAATTACGAGATAAAAAAAACTTCTTATCTCGTAATTACCTAATACTTATCTCGTAATTACGCGATAACTATCTCGTAATTACGAGATAAAAAACTTCTTATCTCGTAATTACGCGATAGTTTTCTCGTAATTACGCGATAATTATCTCGTAATTACGAGATAAAAAACTTCTTATCTCGTAATTACGCGATAGTTTTCTCGTTATTACGCGATAATTATCTCGTAATTACGAGATAAAAAACTTCTTATCTCGTAATTACGCGATAGTTTTCTCGTTATTACGCGATAATTATCTCGTAATTACGAGATAAAATAGCTTCTTATCTCGTAATTACGCGATAGTTTTCTCGTAATTACGCGATAATTATCTCGTAATTACGAGATAAAAATCTTTTCTCGTAATTACGAGATAAAAATCTTATCTCGTAATTACGCGATAGTTATCTCGTAATTACTAGATAAAACAATGATTATCTCGTAATTACGCGATAATTATCGCGTAATTATGAGATAATTATCGTGTTATTACGCGATAGGTTTCTGGTAATTACGAGATAAAAAAAAAATTTTGCGACCCTAATAGGCTTTCGTACTATACTATTTCTTCGGAATAGTTATTTAATTAATTAAAAATTATTTTACCTATAATTAACGAAATCACATACAAATAAATTATGTAACTCAAAATTGTGGCTTTCCCTGATAAAGACGATAAACTGTGGATTTTACCCCAAAAATAACTTACCTTGTCCATCATAATCGTCATTACAAACGGATTGCTTTAAAAGCAAGTATATGACAGTTGTTTTACAAGATGTTCAGACTATTAAATTGGGATATAAGTGTTAGCATTCTTTCGCAAATACACAACAAAGTAAAAAATGTAAAACACCTACTTGGAGTTAAAAGGCTGTAGAAGAGTATTGTAATTAAAAGTGCTGATGTATTCTGCATCTCAAAGAATAACCAGTTTAGTTGTAAATACCAAGGAGTTGGTATTGGTTCACCTGTATAAATGAAAAACATACAGAGATAATTGTATTCTATTAAATCTCTTATATAATTGAAACTACATATTAAAGATATTACATGTATCATGTATAGTATGTGTGACTGTTTATTTTTCAGTAATTAGACTCGTGTATCTTTGATGAATTTAAATAGGAATGTTTAGACTATATAAAATTGAAAATGGAAATGGGGATACATGTATATCGAGACTTTTCGTGAATACACGTGATAAACTGAAAACATTATTTGACCCTAGTTTAACGTTTATACCTTGATTGTCGCTGGAGATATCAGTTCTTCTACAATGTGTATACAATGTGGAAACGACATCAATGAAGTTAGACAGCAGGAGAAGTAGAAATGTCCAGTTTGTCAGTTTGGAGAAATAAACTGGATCGCCATTATTGTCCCCTTCAAACTTCGTATAAATATCGTAGCATATCCATCCTAAATGGTACATAAACCAAAATGTAGTCCAAATCGGATATAAAAATCTGGGACCAAACTGAAAATATTAATAATTGTTTTCTGTTTAAGTTTGTTTTATCTGAGGTATATACTGAAAAAGGTACGCCTCGAGCTAACACAAAACTCCACATGAAAAATTCTTATTGATAACACTATGTTATAACATTTTTCTTTTGCATATAGTTCCTGGCATCAACTCAGGGATAATACCAGGGCCGAAAATAGAAAAGGAAGGTAATAATCTATTTATCACAAATACTAAGTGCTAAAATAAGTGGAAAATTTTGAACTATAAATTGTATGGTAAGATACACATGTTCATTTCCTCCACTAAAATATTTTCAGGATTACGAAGTTCCCAAACAGATCAAAGCTACAGTCCTTGAATATGATAATGTCAATGTCATTTTTTTTAATGTATGTGTTAAATAAATTTGCTCGACGGACGAGACGTTGACAAAACGAACATCTTCCTAGTCCGTCCTTGTTTTTAGGAAAGCCAGGTTGTAACTAGCCGTTTTAGAATTTAGTGCATTCTGAATAATATTTTCAAAGTACACCAAAACTTTGTAAAAACGTCCAAGAGTAGAAAATCAACCAATGACGTGATGTTATTTTCATTTTGGGAATACGAACTTGGAAATAACCATTAGTAAATTATGGTATTGCTTATTATTATTTTTTTTTTCCTTAACGTCCAGCGGCAAATATTTCATGCATGTTCTTGACGTACGAATTAACAAAGAATACAAAAAGTATATAGGATGTATACTGTATGAGATAAAGGTCGGACTGATTACTGGAATAATAATAATAACTTTATTCGTAAGCAATACAGCTCAGAGAATAGAAAATGAGGGTAACTATATTGGATATACACAGAAAATTTGCCTTGCTACAGGCCACCAACGGACCCCTTAGACAGTTGTTGCACTGCTTCTTAAACGGGCAGAGACTGACATCCTTTCTATACGGCGAATTCAGAGCAGGGGAAAATAGTCGATGTTTATTCAGGTATTGACATGGATCGAGCACAAGTTCAGTAATTGTCCATTAGATTGACAAAAATTCTCTCCGCAGTGAAAGAGAGTCTTCAGAAATACTGTGAAACTGTTTACTCGCGTAGTGGTATTAACCATATGTGCATTTTAAAAGACTCTAAAGAACTTCTGGATGATTTTAAATCTCGATCTCTCTCTGAAATCAATTCTATCAAAACTTTTGATTTTTCAACCCTGTATACCACCATTCCCCGTGTGAAATTGATAAATCGTCTAAAAGAAATAATCTACAATGCTTTTCAATAGCAAAATGGTAGCATACGCTATAAATTTATTACTTTGGGATACCATACGGCATATTTTGTTAGTAGTGAACAAAAAGGTAAAACATGCTACACAGAGGAACACGTGATCAGTATGCTGGAGTTTTTTATATGATTCGGAGTTCCTTCAGACACATGTCAAAAACATGAAGATCAAAGAAGCCAGCTCATTTAATTTCACATTCAGATATATTGATAATGTTCTTTCCATTAACAATCCAAACTTTTCTGATTGGGTTCCATTAATATATCCTCTAGAACTAGAAATTAAAGAAACAACAGACACGGCTTCCTCCGCCTCATTTTTAGACTTATACCTCGAATTTCGGTCATCTCAGTACCAGAATCTATGACAAACGAGACGATTTTAATTTTGAAATTATCAATTTCCCGCACCTTAGTAGCAATATACCAATTTCACCTGCATATGGGATATACATTTCCCAACTCGTTCTGTATTCAAGAGCTTGCAGCTGCTACTCAGACTTTATAAAACGCCACCAGTGTCTGAGCAGAAAGTTGATGAACCAGGGTTATGTCAAAGAGCTTCTCGTCCTTTTTCTAAAAAAGTTCATCGGAAGATACCAAGACCTTGTTGATAAATATTCCGTTCAACTTCACAAATAATACATGATGGTCTTGAAGTATAGATTCTAGGTACTGACGTTGTTTATCATCGTAATTACGTGTTATATTGTTCTTTTATTTGTCTTTGTAAATGATTAACCTTTACTGTTTAGTCCATTTTTGGTAATATCCTTTTGGCGTGGCTCGGTACTTATACATCCCGCCATTGTGTTATTTTGCTATGGTCATTTTGTATATTCTTTTCTTTCATTTTTGCTTATGTGCTTTGTCTATATGCCATTTTGTTTTTCTCTGGTGACTCTATTCGTTTGTTTTTATAGTGATTAAGATTATAACACAATGTTGACTGATGTGCCCCTTTTTGACATTTTTTCCTATTATGTCTGTTTGTTTTGTTCACACATTGTTGTCATTATAATGGAATTTTATGCGCCTGTCATACAAGTGAGAGGTTAAGCTAGCTATAAATTTAAAACCAGGTTTAATCCACCATGTTCTACAAAAGGAAATGCCTGTACCAAGTCAGGAATATGACAGTTGTTTTCCAATCGTTTGATTAGTTTGAGCTTTTTATTTTGCATTTTTTTCATTTGATGAGTTTCCGATTTGAATTTTCGTTGGAGTTCGGTATTTTTGTTATTTTACTATTTCATTTATCTCATTTTCAAAATCGTATACAAGTACGCTTCAATAAGATAAATGTGATTAAAAAAATAAATATTGTATACATCACCCTGTAAATTTTGCGGATTACTATGAAAGTCTATTTGGTCAATAATCAACCTTTTGGCTGCTTTAATCGCAAGGTTGTTTTCAGAATATACAGATTTATCATTATAATATATATTTACAGTTCGGAATCCAGGGAAATACTCCCAAACAAGTTTACCAATTCATTCATTCAAGATTAATCTTATAAAAAGACACTAATTATTGTTTAAAAATACCTACTTTTATTGTTAAATCCGGTGCATTACATTTGCGTGCAAAAATCATTATGTTTGCGCGCAGGTTTTGATTACTGTTGCGCGCATTGTTTTACAAGTAATTACAGGTAGATTATACTTATTTATTTATTTAACCATTATTTTCGAGAAGAATAAGTTCGTTTCATTGTGCACAAGCACCTAGTCTTGGAAATATATACAGATAAAAATGTAAAAAACAGTAAATCATTCTAAAGATGTAAATTACTGATTTTACATATCGTAACGTGCACAAAATACATGGATCTGCTGAATAAAATTGCTCATTATAGTGAGCATGGAATGAGTCTGGGCCGTTTGTAGTCATGATTCTGGGCCGTTTGAAGTACGCCTGGATTCTGCTGACGGTAATGATGTCCAAATACCTGGAGGAAATAGGGAATCTGGTGAAATACCTTTGCAATTGTTTACAGTGCATTGTCATGAAATATCTCCCGACTTAAGTGTTCTGTCGATACGGAAAGTAAATCCATCGTACACAAATGATCCCCCCCCCCACCAATTTGTTTCTTACAAACGAAACTCCACGTGCGTGCCTTGACGCAACTTTAAAAAACTGACTTAAATTATTTATTAAATTGCTATTCGGTAAAATTATGAGACAGAATGCTATTTACTCTGAAATATTTGCAATTAAGTTGCATATATGTCTTAAGCTAATTCGAAATTTCTCATGATCACTGTATATTTTTTTTTAGAATTCAATATGAAAAATATATAATTTAAATTTACAAATAGAATATGTTCAAAATTCATATTAACTATTGTCATATTTATTATGAATTACCTTTAATTTACCTGTGTTACCTGTAAAATGAATGCGCGCGAATGTAATCGAAAGCTGTGCGCAAACGTAAAAATTTTTAATCCCCAAATGCGCGCAAATGTAATTACATCTTATATAATATTAATTATATAAGTGTCCTCAGGGCAATTTTCGTAAAAAAGCGATAATTGTTTCTTTGTAGTTGGCAGTGTAAAAATACTGTCTTTCTCACCTTAAACAGACAACGGATTATCTCAGAGCTCTTGGCTTAACATGTAAATCGATTAAATCAACAATTAAATTCGGCATTTAAAAATAAAGTAACATTTCAAATCAATAATTATACAACTTAAAACCACAGCAATGATAATACTTAGCACTTTTCAAATTCTTGTAAAAAAATCCTAAACTTCACTTTTTTTCCCGTTATACTATATATATTTTATTAAACTTTGCTGTTCAAACAAACGAAGATCGTATAAATAAAATGCTTTAAATAATAGTTTATAATTATCATTTAAAATAAATGCTTACCTCAGAGAGTACAAACTTCTTTGGATCATCATTACCTAATCCGAATTTTCTGCATTGAAATTCTGTCTTAAATTCACCACAACAAGCCATTGGATTAAACAGAAAACCTATGTATTTGCTTAACTGAAATAAAATTGCAAATCTTTCTATTGTCACCGGTCCTTATTATTCCACAGTATCAAATCTTGTCAAATAATTTGACATTAAGCAAAGAACTATAGAAACTTATATCCATTTCAAAGAATACATGAAGAGCCGTCTTTTGTCTTGCGTTATCTTCTCAATCTGTATACTAGTAAAATCTAGCCTATAGTTGAATCTACATTAATTTCCCCCATAAAAAGCCATACTATCGAAAGGAATTTAAAAAAGTAGGAAATTACAGTGGAAATTAATTTTATGAAGCCAATCATTTTTATAAATCAATTGTAAATTATCTTTTAAAATTTATCCACAGACTGTTTGAAGATCGCACAGAAAAATAATAGAAAGACAGAAAGATTCATATCAATATAGTAAGCCATTAACAATACCATTATATATTTTACAAGTAGTGTTCACATAAAGTATCATTGAAGTTTTCATTTTCTGTAAATTTGCTGTTTACAAAATTTTTAATAACTTGAAACACTATAAGGTTCCCCCTCCCACCCAGGCATATACTGCCTCAGTCGTATTTTGCACAACTTTTCTGAATTCACACCCCATAAATATTTTATATACTGACTTTCTGGTTGATATCTTGATTAAATCTAATGTAAAATTCAAATTTGCCTTTTTAGAGTGTGTGTATCAGAAATTGACATGTTAGGCCAAAATCAAA